TATATAAAATAAAGATAAATCTGTACAGCTATGTAGCTCCAAGTGTCTTTCACTGACTTTCATGATCTGTAAATTAGACACTTTGGAGTTAGGGTTAGGGTATTTTCTGCTTCCATTCTCTTGAAAAATCAATAATTTTTTTCTTGTATAGCCCAAAATCAAAACAGTTATCTCAGAGGACTTAAAGTGATAGTATGTAACTCTAAATGAATTACAAATTTTAAGAATTTTGTTAAATTGACCTCCTGGCCTTAAATGTTGATATAAAATAAGTCATTTTATTAATTCTAATATTACAGGTAAGTCCCGCCTTCCCTTCTCTTAGCTATAGCTCAGAATCCACGATGCCGTCCACGTTAACCAATCGAGTCATGCCAAGGGCTGTCAATCATCGGCGCTGCTGCTCCTCCGTGTGTATAATGTGTTCTCTCATTAACATTTAAATGTGTTACGGAAACGTAGGCGTAGACCAATCAGAAAGGAAGGGGGAGGGAGCTTGCATCGTTTTTTTTTTTTCAAATCAAAGACCTCTCTCTCTCTTTCTGACAAACTGCAGACAATCACTTTAACAAAACCATCGATATTGCCAACACAGATCATAGAATGGAACATAATTTAAAAAGGACATTTCTTCATAGTTACTATTATACGTGAGTGATTGTAAAGTTAAGTTTTATATTTAACACTGTTCCACTGGGGCTTCTACACATTGACCTGGTGTTAACAATTGCCACTGTAAGCTCTTCTTTGTGTTGTCTGAGCGATGCACAGAAGGCTTCAATTTTGGAGTAATTGCCTTCCGTCGATCTGCCGATTCCCTTCCAAAGGTCAACGTTCACAGTTGACTCATTGAACGCACTATAGCGCTACCATCAGATGTCAGAAAAAATCGCCGTGACCCTTTGACTTCCATAACGCTGCTCCATGGCATTACAGACCATTATTTTTGTGTCGAGTAGAGAAGCTTTCATCCCTTCCCCTGTCACTCTGGAAAGCCTGTGGTTATAAAGTGCAGATTGTCTTTGAACCGGGGTCAGCTAAGTGAGACCAGTAGTTGTCTTTTATTCGCAGGCGTGACGAGTCGACAGATGTTCGGTAAGCTACAGGAAGTATGCAGCTACTGAAAAACATTGATCAGAAACAAGACGTGTACAGCCATCAAACAAACGAGCTCTCTTTGGAGAATAGGCTTTACAAGGGAACATATTTTGACAATGAAATGCTTGTAAGTTAAGGATTTGTTATAGAGCAGTGCTTCTCAACTGGAACAGTGTTGGAATGTACAATCAACATAAAATACCAAGTCGCTACCCAAGAAAAAGAAAAACTGAATGTTGTATTTATCTATAAAAAGCATGAGGCTTGTGTGCTTGGAGATTTGTCCATGGCCACGCGCTGTGCATGCGTGGAAACTGGCAGCGTTGGTCTGTGAGACTGAGTGAGAGAGAGGTGCCTCAGAGCAAGAGAGAGGTGCAGCGGCATCAGGAGCACTGTGACTGCTTTTCAAACCGTGCATCACGGACCATGCAGCAGGATAAGCACTAATAAGACCAAATAAACAGAAAATATTTGAAATAAACGTTTATATTTTATTACCCTTACGTAACTAATTTCAACAAGCCTTCCATTGGGGAAAGTTAAAGCTGCACTAACTCACTTTGTTAAATCTTCGAATGTGAGCACTGGCTTCGCTCTTCTGCTCGCCCTCCCCGCACTCGAGAAGCTATCAGAATTGAATTGGATTCAATTTTCACAATGAATACAAAAATAAAGTGAGGTAATGCAGCTTTAAGTAAATAAACCTGTATTTATTCAACTTGTATTGTGGAGGAATTTCTTCATATTTTTTTCTAAATCTGTGTGGGGAAACTGCTGTTGTAGAGCTCTCACTAATAAATCCATAGCTAATCATTGTCAATTTGGAACAATTGGGTCAATGCAATTATATAAAATTCCAATTAAAGCGTCTTTATTCCAGGCTCTTGTGAGGCCATTCTTCGTCCATAATTATTGCATGATTAAGTTCTAAACATTGGAATAGCGTTGCTTTAATCATCACCCAAAGTGCTAATCTTATGCAGTGTTGGGATTATGTGTAAAAGCTATTTCGGTCACGGTTTGCATTAAGTAGAGTTTCTACTCTCACGTCTGCTCCAAGGCCTGTTCTGTTTTTCACAACATTGATCTTACTACGTGATATGGTTCATGGAGCATATGAGGTGAGAAGCTATGTTTAGAGAGTGAAGGGTTGAGGAGAGTGTAGAATAATGCAAAACAGTGTTGCCTTGTAAAAACTCGAAATCAGTGCCGCACATAATTAAGAAATGTTTGATAGGTTACAATGAATTATGTTGGGTCAATTTATACAGTTAACCGCTCAAAACTAAGATTGCTCATCACCCTCATGGCACCATCCCCACAGTTAAATGTGGGAGTGGCAGCATCCGATGAGCATCGTGTTATGGACAGTGAACCGTGAGTTGATGGAAAGATGTATAGAACAAAATAAACAACATTATTTGTAGAAAAGCTGGATGCTGGATCTCAGGAGTCAAGTATTTACTCATGATGTATGAATACTTGCATGCCCTATTTTTCTGTTTTTTATTATTTGAAAAATATCAATCTTTTCAGTTGTCGGTTACTAACCCTAACCCTTACCTTATAGCAGAAGATGAAGAGGTTTCACTTATTGTCAGATATTGTCTTCATCCTTAGACACGTTTATCCATACATTTTGTGAGTTTTCAGATTTAGCATTACAACATCTGAAATTTGTTTTTTAGCCCTACAATTCACTATCTGACACTATGGGCAAAGAGATGATTGGGTGGGTGAGGGCGATCCACTCTTTTTCATTTTTCTGACTGAATACGTTGCTCTATAGATGTGACAGAGGCCAAAAATACATGTTTAAACTAGAAATACATCCATCCATCCATCCATTTTCTACCCTTTAATCCATTTCTGGGTCAAGTCTTATAGCACCAGCCCCTCACTGACCCTCTGCAGGTGGTGAGTCCACAGGAGGACGGCTGCTCTGTAAGTGTGAGCGTAGCCTTGATCTTTCAGTGGGGGCTTTGGGCAAAGTGGGGTTAAGTGTCTTGCCCAAGGACACAACGACAGCAGTCATCAGTGGGAGTCGGTGGAGAAGGTGTAGAGGTGGGAATTGAACCCACGACCTTCAGGCCTGAAGGCCAATGCTCTACCAACTGAGCTACTGTCGCCAGACACTAGAAATACAAGCAGACAGAAATAGTTGGATGGATTTCATTACAGAGTTCCGTTTTTTTCCTCCCCACCTCAATTCGCCTTTTAAACAGATGAATTGGTGACCTGTTTTATGTATTTTATATTGCATTTCTGCTCTTTTACTGTATTTATTCTTAGATTGCGTGTCTATGTGTGTATTTGTGTACCCCCACCGGTGCTCGGTCTGTAAATGAAGTTCCTCACGGATTAATAAAGTTATTGAATTGAATTGAATTGAATTTGCAAATTGGATACCCCAGCTCTAAAGGCCAAAATCACAAAGAATGTATCGCAGTATATGTGCAGTTGTTCAGCCCGTGTTGTGCATGTGCTCCTGGTGTATCATGGCCCAGTTCTCACAGTGCGTCCGGCCCTCAGGCTCCTATCACCGCATCGATGAGCTTGATCTTTCCACCAGTGAAGCCGGTGTCAGGCTGAGAGGCTGACGGAGAGGGCGCGCTGTGAACCTGCGATGGGGCTGATAAAACTGGAGTTTGTTTGGGTTTACTGTTCAGATCTGTGATTAGAGGCTTATGCAGCTAGTGGCCTCTGTTGATAACAATTGTGGGATAACATTAAGAGGGCTGGTGCAATTGCCTGAGGTTTTTGAGTTTCTTTTGCATTTGGAGGTACAGGCTTATATCTAAAAGGACCCCAATCAAAGAAGACAATATTTTATTACAAGGGACATTTTATGATTGAACAGATTGGATCCTTGCTTATTCCAACCATTTAAATTGAAATTCAGAAGTAATTATTATCAGAAGTAATTATTATCCAACCAGTCCTGCAGCAATACCGGCTCCATCAACACCAAACCCTACGGACATGAAATATAGAATTCAAAGCAGATGTATGTTATTGTAAATTGAAAAATGTTGGTCCTTAATATGTTTCTGGTCTATGAGGATTTAGTCTGTTAAGTGGAAGCTATCTCATTAATGATTTTAATTGGTATTTTTAATTATAACAGGATACAATTACTTCTACATTGTACTGCTGTGACTCGAAGCAACACTTTGATCTATGGGCACGTTTGAAACGATCAGCTTAGAGGAAATTCCACACAAGTTCTTTATTACGGCCTGTGTCAGCGGATAATTAATTCTAATATCACTGGTATAAATCATTTGTCCCGGGCCTCCCCCTGGTGTTTCTATCAGCCACACTCGTCTATATCCACGTGCATTAGAAACGGGATTACAGAACTATTCTCTGGTGACTATAGCTGCTGTGCCCTTTACCCATCCTCTCAGTGTTTCTATTTTTCTCCATTCACTGTAGCTAATTCCCCCGTTAGCTCCCTTGGGCGTAATTGATTCTCATATCATTAAAACAGATCTATCTTTGGGGGATACGCCCACTTGTTTCAGCCCTTTGTTCACTCATCCGCGGAGCCCATATGCCTGTGTGCTGTGCTTGCTGCCCCGCTGCTGCCTATGTAATGTAAACTACTTGTGCTTGGGCAAGTCCCTTTAGATAACAACTCAGTCTAAACATGGGACGGAAGAGAAAGTGGAGCATGGCGGCGATGTCACACTTTGCGACCATTAGGGGGCGCATGGGTCCCAGAAGGAAGGGCGTGGAGGGGCTGTGTCTGAGCAGTCTTCTGGGGGTCTTGAGGTCTCATAGTTGGATCATAGGAGAGGATGATGTGGCCTTGCTTTTGGCAGGCTCTTCGACGCCAGATTTCGAACATAATTTCCGGACTCACTCCTTGTCTTTCTCTGTCTCCTCTTCGTCTGCAGATGGAGGGAGTGAGGATTACGGTGACCCCCGCTCACCTGGTCTAGACCCTCATCTGTGCCCAGGTAAGGACAAGCTTCTCTTTTAATATACCTTCAATCCTCATATTAGTGGAGTTGGCATGTTCACTTTTCTTCTTTTGGTTTTTGGCACTATACTACAATACTCAATACTACTATACTGATTTCCTACATAATTGAAATTCTTCTCAAAATGCTTCCCTTCCCTTCAAAACTGCAGCCAAGTTAGACCCAGCCTCTTCAGAAGGCAGCAAGAGGCACATTTTCATTGATATATTTTTATAGTTTAAAAAGAACTGAACATGTATCAGTCAAACACTATTTATGTCAATAATTGCAACTATGTCCAGGGATGTGGGCATGAATCATATCGGTGAAGACAGAGTTTGTTTTTACTCATTAATCAAGAGTTCATCAAAAAAGTTTGATCTGATGAGATGTTTTATCACAAGGCTAAGTCTCCTTTAAAGATTAAGATAAGTTTAAGCTGTTATGAAACTTTTCAGTGTGACCTCTTTTGATAAGTCAATTTATATGCACTACTGTTAATAATATTTGATGTTAAATTCACACATGTACCTAGGAAATACATACATTACACGTAACAACATTGTTCATAGATAATACAAAAATACCAGAGACATGTGTTGTTTTTAGCTCCTTCCATACTAATATTAGGAACTTATTTTGACCAAAATCATCATAATCCTGTCCCCCTGTCTGGTGTTTCAATGCTCATATCTCAAATTTAGTACGCTCCGTTGAATCCTTATAATATGACCCCAGGGATAGAGCTGTTTTCTTCTTTTAAAAATAATAAATATTGCCCCCACTTTTGTAAATTTCTCCAGTAAAATGACAGCTGCGTCAAATGCTACGCCATCTTTGTACTGGGTGGCAGTATTGTAGTCATCTTTAGTTTTATTGGTCATGTTTTCTATCAAATAAATCTTTTCAGATCATAAAACATGAAATGCCAAAAAACAAATAGTGATGTTTATAGAGAGCAGAGGAAGTGGGTGCTAAAATCATGTCCATGAAATTAACAAAGAACCTTTACATTGGATCTGCCTTGGGTCTAAGGTTTTGTTGCCCATTACTTGGTTTGGAATATATCAAAAATCCCTTCCCATCCCTGAGCTTTCGTGATCTAAACAACTTGTCAATTAGACGATAGAAAGATTGACCAGCATTATTTAATTACAGCCCTACAAATAATGCACAATATCTATTCTTTAATGTACATAGTAAGAATGTCCTTTGTTAGTGTGGTAGTCACTCATACACCTCCATTACAATCTCCCTTCAGGCCTCACTGCAGCTTGATAAGAAACATAATGCCTTCCCGTTCACACTTTTACCTGCTCATTTCCTGAAGTATGGCTCCTCTGACACAGTTTTCCCCCAAATCATTTCTCCGTGCAGTGGCTCTCCCAGGCCACCACTGTATTTTAGAAGTGACTTTACGGGCCAAAACTTGGTTCTTACTTCAAAGGACTTCCCATTTTTATTCGAAGGCAGTCATGTATTTTATATGCTGTAATTTTGTCGGTAAATCTTAGTAATTCAAGGGGAAAGAGGTTGAAGACGTCAGAAACAGATCAGCGGGGGAAAAAACTGTTTAACTTCACTCAGTTTGTGGATGTTTTGGGCAAGATTGAAATTTGAAGTCTGCGTTTTCATCAGAGCAAAGTACCTCAATGAGTAGGAGTACGTTTATTTTTAAAACTTCTCGCCACGTCTCTTATCACCAACGCAAGTGGAACCTGCTGTTTCTCCCTTCTCTATTTAATTCCCCAGAATCCTGAAAATTGCCACAATTTATTTGGACATTTAAAAGACTACATATATTCTATCTTATGAAGTGATTTTGAGAATAATGGTGCGTTCAAGTGGATGACGTTTACTTGTAAGGTAGAATGCTGGTTGCTAATGCTATTTCACTTTTTTAATTCAAAGATTCAACATTTTAAAGATTCTCAATGGGATAGTATTTATTTATTTATTTTTGTTTTCAATTGCACCCAGATCTTTTATGTGTCCCCAGATAATAATCCAACTTGTACAAATCATATTTGGCCTTTTCTGGTTTATAGGGAGTTATTCTTAAATAGTAACACAATTGACTTGATGTCCATAATATTTATGTTAACAATTTTCAAGCAGATTTTCCAATTAGAAAGCATAACAAAGTCCTCTTTTGGGTTGCCTGTTTGTATATATTTATCTGGTCTTGGCTTTTTTTTTTTTTTTCTTTCTAAACAACTAAATTCACCAAAACAAAACACCTCACGTTGTTAAGTGAATGCAGATACAAAAATAATCATATGTTTCAGAGTGTACCATTTCTAGATAAACTCCAGCTGGTGGTTTGCATCTGCTATCAATGCTACATATACCAAGTCCGGTTAAAGTATTTAAAAAGAAAAAAATATATATAAGTACAGCTATGAGTGTAATAAATACGTAATTGCTGTTTTCCATAAGTCAAAATGGAAAGTGGAAAATTGTGACGGTTTTTTACCCTGTGAGTTATTTTTTAAAGTCCAATATTTTGGTTATTTTCTGAAAAAGCTCCAACGGGTTACTCGGGGTGAATAAAGCTGGTTGTTCTGACAAGCATCGCAATTTGATTTACAATTAATTCAGTTCCCAGTCCACATCCAGGCACATTAACATATCAGAGAGTGAAAAGGAATGGGTCGGCAGTTTTTGCATATTTAGAATGGAAATGTTAGTGTTTCCATTAGGTTGTTCAGAATTGTCTGTATATATGCAGCACAGACAGACTGCTGGGCTATTTCTCTGCTTTCTATGTGTGACTTGTCCCCCTCCATATGCGACACATGCAACGAGCACAGAGATCCACAGGGACCTCAGACAATAATGGAGCGTGTCTCACTGCGCTGGCTCCATGCGTGGACCAGACCAGTTCTCACAGCTCTCTTTGGGGAAATGACAAGTCTGAACTGTGACAAATAATGTAGCAGAGCAGAGAAAATGGTGATGGTGTAGAGAGGAATTTTTAGATGTGTTATTTTAATAAAGCTTGAAATGGGTTCAGTAACTCTAATGTCCAAATTATTATTATCCATGTTTTTATTCGATATATACAGCAGGGGTGTCCAAACCTTTTGTTCACCAGACTGGTTCAGGGGCTGAAAACCTGGGTTTTAAAACTATTTGTCTGGACTCGGGCTGTTCAGAGTTTTACATTTGACAGTGCTGAGGTTGGTAGAATGATAAAATTCTCACGGCAGCTATGCACCATTTATAGATTTTTTTGGACCATGATCTAAAACAAACATTGGTTTAGTCAAACAAAGATGACTTGATTCAAGAGGTTCTCATCTCTACAATAAGGGGTAGCATGCTTTTGTTGGCAGAGCTGAAGTTGGCTGGATGACTGTTATCTTGTGTCTATGATCTCAATGTCACAAGGACATCAAATGACTGTACCTCAGCCTAATTACATTCACAGTGTCTGCCCCAAACTTTAATCTGTACGGAAATGTGTACTTTCAGAATCACAAATGGCACCAATAATTGAATATTTTCCTCTGCTGGAGACAAAATACCAACATTCTAGTGAGACCCAGAGCTGCTTAGCTTACCTTAGCTGTTAGCTTCCATGTCGTCATTGAACGGCGTTCCAGCATTGGACCATTTATCTGTATTGATGCTAAACATCAATACATCGCTTCTACAACTTGGAGTCAAAATAAGTCCCTTGTAGCGGCTTGCTAAATCGAGAACCAGCTCTCCCCGGTTCCCATGCATGCTGAAAACACAAAAATGCAGTATATTTAGGTAGAGCTGCAACTAACGATTATTTTGTAAATCGATTAATCTATCGATTATTTTTACGATTAATCGAGTAATCGCTTGGCTGTGAATTGTGTAGAAAAAAATATTTTTTCATCACAAAAAGCTAAAGTGGCAACACTCGAGGACTTATTGATGGCGTAAACTTAAAGTAAATGTTTGTAACAGGCTCTTTGTGCTAATTCTGCTCTGATTGGATGAGACAGACAGATATTCATGAAATTATAAAAACTAAGTCGGTTTTAATCAAAAATATTTCATTTTCATGTCATTTTTGCTCTGTTTGAGTCCGTGTGAACCAGAAAACGATTAATCGATTACTAAAATAGTTGTCGACTATTTCAATAATCGATTAGTCGTCGATTAATCGATTAGTTGTTTCAGCCCTATATTTAGGGTATTTAGAGTTCAATTTATAAAAAATAATTTGTATACGCAACATGTTTACTTTTACAGTCAAAATGATGACCTTTTTATTCTGAAACTACTTGTCTTGTCGTATGCCTCTCTAGATTCTGAAATTTGTGAAACTAAAATGTAAATGTTAGAATCTTTATAAGATGCGTCTTTTGAAACCATTTTGTTTTTCTCCATTATTCCGTATGACAGCTGGTCCATTGTTCTAAATTATACCATGATTACTGGATCTTTTCACATTTTCAGCCTCTTAAATTTACCCATTTCACAGTGTTATTACGACCTCAGTGTGTTGCTCTGTAATCACTGATGATGGTGTTTTGCTCTTTTGTTAAGTTGAGCCTCTCATGCTGTCTTGCTTATTTCTTTTTGCTTATTATCCTCTTTATCTTCCTACATGGTGTAAATATTGAGATTTGTTGATACTGGTTTCATGGGTGTGTGGATGTGAACGGCACGTGTCGCCTCCAGGGCTGATCTCTCGTCTGGGTCACAGTGGTCAATATAGCACTGACACCACAGAGAATGAGCTCTGAGCGGTCCAGCTTTTGGGCAAAGAACCAGCGGAGAATCTATAATTACAATAATGAAGTCTCAAAACTAGAATTTGACAAGAGTCTGCTGAGGTGCATTTAAGACTTTAGGAAGCAACACCATCCCGAATAATAATAACAATGCCTCAATTATGTATTGCTCTTTTTTGGATAACATCTTTTGGTTCACTATCATATTCTGCCAGGTAAAATGTTCGTATTTTTGTTTTATGTATCTATCTACACTATTATTTGCTCCATCCCACAAGATAATTTCTTACATGCATAGAAGTTTACAGCTTCACAGAAAGAAGGTCTTGGGTTCGATTCCACCTCCAGGCCTTTCTGTGTGGAGTTTGCATGTTCTCCCTGTGTCTGTGTAGGTTTCCTCCGGATGCTCCTGTTTCCCGTACCACTAAAAGCATGTACAGGTCTGGCATGCGTCTCCTGTATTGCAACCCCGCTCCCATTTCTCTATGTGAAGTGAGTGAATAAAAAATGCCCAAAAAATAGCAAATTGTAAAGCACTTTGTGACTCTACTGTGAAATGCACTATAAAAATAAAGAGTAGTTATTTTCTTACTTACAGACATGGTTGTGTTTGATTTTAAATGGTCCAATCAAACAGTTGACCTTGTGTCAACTGTTTTAAGGATTAATCTGCCGAGCTGTGAAAGTGAGTTGTTCATACATTAATTGCATTCTGAATATAATGGTCACAGTGGTCACTAATGCTTTTAGTGCACTAAAGGCTCTAGGACGCTCTTTTGTGATGGTTGTCAAATCCTGTTCTTTGTGTTGTAAGATTTTTGAATGGAGGACACATTTCAGGTTCAGGATCTGTCAAGATTACTTAGCTGAAAGATTGTGTTTCCTGTGATCGTTTGGGGGAGTTTTGTTTAGGATTAAAACACACAACATTCAAAAGAAGGCAAAATCCAGTACAATACTGTTACTTCAAACACTAATAGAATTATTCCGATATTTTCTTATGATGCTAATCAAATGTCTGCCCTCCATCCTGCAGGTGGCAGTATAGATAGCGACTGTGTCTTTGACGGAGACTACGCCGTGCCTCCACCGCCTCTCCCCATGACTGAGGGAATGCAGCACATTCGCATGATGGAGGGCGTGTCCCGCTCACTGCCCTCCTCCCCCCTCCTCACCCACCAGGCACTCGGGGTGAGGCTGCAGCCCTGCAAGAAGCTCACAGGTAAGGCCACCGCGCACAAATATGTATCTTTATTTGTCTTAAACATTGGTTCTCAGCTCCATAAACCATCTAAGCATTTGCCAGTCATCGATTATAAATTGTGGCCTAAATCAGTCCGTTATGGCCAGGTTAGAAAAAGTCACCTTATTTGGAATCAGTTAACCTAAAATTCCACTACAACAAAGGTGTTGTCCGTGTCCGGCAGTAAAAGAGGGTATGGCAGAATAGGACATTGCTACAGAGGATAATTGGGTAATAAGAGTATTTGAGTATATTAGGGTAACAGTCTTTTCCACCTCAAGCATATCTTCCATTATGTATTTTTTTTACGGTAAATGTATTTGTATTATCAAATGAATAGCGTTCTAACACAAAAAATATAACCTGTAGCATAATTTGTAACCCATTTATTGAAAGACGTTGATGCGTTCACTTGTTTACTTGAAGTCTGCTGAGATGGGGAGGCGGTGTCTGCTTATAATTTCCGCATTATCGTTTATAAGAGCCACAATCACTTACCGCTCTTACCCACTCGTCCTGATGGTGATGATGCACTTGCAGGAAAAACGCTGTAATTTCCAATTCCTCTAATAAACACTGAAGGCATCTCTAATTGACGCCACAACAGCTGATGGGCTCGTGCTTGTGGTCAGCCCTGGCCGCTCTCCTAGCTCCTTATCCACTAATCTTGCTCTGCTAATCGTTTCCTTCTCTAGCCTCTTTTGCTGTTATGTGGGCTCTGACATGTTTTCGCTGCTGTAGAGTGGTTGGAAAATGTTGTTTTGGACGAGATTTGACTAAGCGGCGGATAGAACATTTGTTAATTTCCCTGTGCCATCTATGATCTGGCAAAACATGACCAGGAAAAGTCTGACCGTCAGCCAAAAACCTTTGAGGTGCTAACATTTACCCACTGCAGGACGAATACATGCTCCCTTATCTTAAAAAAGTATCTAAGGGCATTTTGAACAATAATTAAAGCTGGGGTACCTAACTTTTAAACCACAAAAAAACATGTAATCTATCCCACGGGGTGCAACCTTTTTCCCATATAGCTAAGACAAAAATGACAATACTGTGACAAGCCTTGGATTGCTTTATGGGCCTATCTACCTGTATTAAAACTTCTGTACTAAGTTAAATATTTATAATAGTTGTAGGCATGGGAAACATTACATTTGAAAGGTTTAGGGGATTATTTGAAATATCTAAATCCTTTGGGGATATACTTGGAAGAGGGTGGCGAACTACTGGTGGCTCCTGAGCTGTAAGTTGGAGTCCACAAAATGCTTGTATTGAGTTGTTTTTTGTACTGTTGCACCTTTTAGATCCCCTTCACCAAAGAGAACAGTATAAAACAGAGGACCACCCCTGCTCAGCCAATGAATAGGGATCTTTCTTACAGTTATAAAAAAGGTAGCGTCTGATAAGATAATCATCTAATAAAGATAGCATATTGTCTGATTTTGTTCCCAACATTTTAATCTTATTTGTTTGTATGTGTTATTGTTGTTATGTGTTATTTATGAAGCAAAGAGGTTAGGTACCCCAGCTTTAATCTATCCTGTAACCAAACAGGACTTCATATGGACAAATCAGGGCTACATGCAATACATTCCTCTCCGACTTTGCTTTCTGGCTGAGCTCACAAGGTTTTTTTTTTTTTTTTTTGGAGTGTTCGAAATATGAAGTGAAATATTGACACTTTCTTGCTGCAGCCTCCACACAGCAGCTGAGTGGGTGGGTATCGTCTTTAGAAAGTAGATTTAACACTCACCACTAGGGCGCACCAGCCTCACAGTCAGCTCACATCATTAACTGCTCTTGATTTTGCTCTTGGGTCTGTGGTTTGACTTCAGACAGAATCATTTATGCGCCTCCTCTGAAGTGTATATTTAACAGAAAACACATCTCATCTGGTTATGCCGTGCCAGACAGTGTAGCAGTGGGACGAAGGGGTAAGTTTGGGGCAGTTTGTGAATTGGATTTTATACAAAGAAATAATTTTTTTCTGTACTGGCCTCCTCTCTTAAGTGCCAGTCTTTTGTAGATTGTGTGCTTGCTTGTTCAAAGGAACAGCGGATACCTGAAAATGCTTGGTGACTAAAAACATGAACAGGATAGAATTTTATATTTCCTCAGCAGTTATAAATAGATATTGGAACTAAAGCTGAAACGTTTAATTGATTAATCACAACCAAACAAGATTTTCTTGTCTACTTTTTAAATATCAGTATATGAAATTATACAGTATTTATATCAATCGTTGCAGATTTTTATTTAGTACAGAAAATTAAAGATTTTGTTGTTGGAGCAATTCTCTCCTACTGAAAATGTATACAAAGATGTTAAAGGTATTATTGCAATCTAAATAATACTATTTCTATATCTACTGGATATTGATCTTATCCTTTTGACTTGTGTCTTATTATAAACGAGAACCAGAAAATCAAGTACCATGTCCCTGCTGTCAAAATGGTACTGCCTGTTTTAATGTTATTCTTGACCTATTCGGTTTAGCAGCTTTTGTGGCTCATTCTTTAAACGATCATTACTATGTCATTAGCATGCACCATTACCCAGGTTCGTCATGCACATCGTCTATAATTGTGCATTCCTATGGTTGCTTTAATGCTGATTTTAAATGTGTTTTAGCTGGAAATGAGATGTTTCCCACCTGGCTCAGCTGAAGCAGAAAATCTAGTCTGACTCTCTCTGTACAACAATGCCTTGTTTTTGTTCATGCTGTTTGGACATCCACTTATGTAGTTTAGCACATTTTTTGACATCCACTTATGTAGTTTGGCACATATTTTACTGGTGGAATATGTCATCTGTCAGTTGTATGATAACCATATTAATACATGATCAAAAATCTAAAATAATTTAACTTTAAAGTACAGTATAATTAGTGACTGGATACTATGACATCACATTTATTTCTGGGCCTTAGAAATGACTCCATCTTTACTCTAAACTGTGGCAAGAAGGTCCAAAGTTTCAGTCATGTCAGTGTCAGCTCTGGTCCACACAAAGTAACTATGTGGAAACTGATCTGTCAAATTTTGGATGTGTTGACGGGGGATCAAATCTACCTTTTTATAACATCCATGAATGACATCGCTGCTCAGACTCAATCTGTGTACTGTTCATGGACTGAATGTAATTGTACTGACCCAAAATATTAAATTATGAAAATGTATCCACCATGACGATCTGTCCATAAAGCTCTGTTTAAAGTCAATGCAAATTATTATCATAGTCATACTGTATCTGAAGAAAAAGTTTCCTCTTGGCTCTTGTCCTCACTCTGGGTTTATCATAGAGATTAGCTTTTAGATTTAAATGTTATATGTCTGATTTGGTGTTCCCTGTCACAGCCTCACAGCGCCCTGGTCTGATGCGTACGATACACTGCTCTCAGGTGAATTCGTCTTTAGCGTAGTGTATATGATGCATACATTTACAGTGATGATTCAGACTTGAAATGGAAGCTGTCTTTTGCCTTTTTAACTTTTATGTTCTGTCTTTTTTGTGTCTATGTTGGACCCAGAGTCCAAAAAAAACACTTATTCATTCATGGTTTCCAAACTATACGCCTTTCGTCTTTGTCTGGACAAAGCCTAAAATACAGTTTTCAAGGATTTACTGTATTTGGGACATTCCAATGCTGCTGCTGCTTTATTCACAGCCACAGAAAAACAAGTAACCTGCACAGACATTTCCGGCCACTAAATGCACTATTATTATATTATTGTATATATTACTATTATATACTTTCCCAAAAGTCAAATATGTTGCATGGTCTGGGAGTGGGTGGTGTCCTGTGATGTCACTCACAGTTCGGCCCTGTGTCAAGCTGTGCAGGAAGTGGTGTTTGAGCTGAATTAATCAAAGAGTGAGAATGCCGTGATGAGACACCTGCTCCAATCTGGTCCCATCGCACTGAAGTTCTGACAAAGGTCACCGAGGGCACAGGCAAGTTCACAAGTTTTGTAGGTGTCTTGTGACATAGTGACAAAATGACAAACTCAGTGATGAGAGATGAGTCATAATCTATCATTCTCTGTGAAAATTAAAAACAAGAGTCTGTTCCAATTAATAGTGTATTAAATTGATCCTATAAATTACACAACCCATATTGTGACGAATGCAAGCCCTCTTGTTCTTTGGTAAAAGACATGTCGCCACTTTTGAGAATAGTTTTGTCGTTGTGTAGTTGGTCAGAGAACCATATGGAACAGACACTGCATTTCTTATCAGGTTAAATGGATTTCAGTGGTCCCTCCCATATATATATAAATATATATGGTCGACCTTTATTTATTTAAAGTCAGAATAAAACTTTTGTGACTTGTTTGCACCGCAGTGATTAGTTTAGAGGACTCTTCCTGTAGCCCCAAGTTGAGGAAAAATGAGTATAAAGGTAATTGAATGATCCCAGCATGTAATCTCCCACACCTATCTCTGCAGCGGTATTTGACAGTGTATACACAGCTTTTGACAGCTGCAGCAGTGCTCAGTCCTAGAACAAACAGGTTTGATGTCTCTGCCATTTCACCTCAGCAGTCGTGAGTTCAGGCGGGTAGAAAAGTGATCAAAGTGTGTGGTGAGGGGTTATAAAAAGTTACAGCTGCTACTATGTGGATCTCTGTAGTGGCCATACTGGGGGCGGTATAGAGTGCATGTTAATGTGTGAATAAAAAACACTTACTCTTGAATGGCTTAATGAGAAGAAAGTTTAAAGCTAGTGGAACATTCTAAGCAAAAAATGACATGGCAATCTTAATTTATCTCCTTAAAAACATTCTTATCAAGTTCAGGGTACGCTTTATTGTCCCTGTTTGGAAATGTGTCCACTGCATTTAACTCATCGGTCGATACTACTGTGGTATGGAATGACGGGACGATACCCTTTAAGGTGCTTAGCTTGGGCCCGAACCGACCATGTAAGGTTTTGCATAATGTGCATGTTTACTAAGCAGATTTTACTTGCTGCT